TGCAGTTTCATGACATATGTGATGATGCTAACTGGATTGCAACAATGGAAGATGAGTATGCGTTCATACTACAAAACGACACGTGGGAGCTGCTATCTCTACCTCTAGGCAAACATGCGATTACTGCACGATGGATTTTTAAAGTCAAGCCTGGCTCTCCTAGCCAACCATCTCGATACAAGACCCGGCTAGTTGCGCGCGGATTTCAGCAGCAACAAGGTATCAACTACAAATAAATATTTGCATGAGTGGTGAAATGAAAGACCATCAGCATCATCTCTGCTGTTGCCTCTCATCACAATTGGACCCTACGTCACCTTGACGTCCAAACTGCCTTCTTGAACGGAATCCTTGAAGAAGAAATGTACATGCAGCAACCTTTGAGGTTTGTTATTGCCGGACGAGAGCACGAAGTGTGCTGTCTCAAACGTGCACTATACGGCCTCCGTCAAAGCCCGCGCACATAGTACCACCAGATCGATGATGAATTGCAAGAAAAAAAACTCAAACCTAGTCATGTAGACTTCAATTTATACATCCAACAACAAGATGATGATCTTGTTCTTTTAATCTTGTATCTTGACAACCTCTTTCTTTCAGGAAGCAATTCTCGCATGATAGAAGCGCTTGCCACATCGCTCATGGAGTACTTTGCTATGACTGATCTTGGTCTCATCACAATATACCTTGGCGTCAACTTTGTTCGGCATCCTTGCGGCTTGCTACTCCACCAAGAGTCCTACCTACAAATTTGTCCGTTCTGGACAAATTTTCTTTCTTGAAGTGTAGACCAAGCTTTATTCCGCTCAATGAAGGTGTTCAACTTTGACGCGAGACTAGTACTTCTCCTTTCGACTCAATGCCCTACAAACGCCTTGTTGGAAAGCTGTTGTACCTTACCCGTACACGAACTGATATCGCAACAAATCAGGCAAGCAGGTACATGCATGAACGTCAAAAACTTCATCTCGCAGTTTCAAAAGCATCTTACGGTACCTTAAGAGATACCCCTCATATGGCTTTTTCTACGTCAATGAGGAGGATGACAATCTTGAGGGATATTCTAATGCCAACTACGCAACAGACTTGGACAAACGCATCTTCACTAGCGCATACCTATTCATCTTAGGATCCTCACCAGTATCATTCCACTACTCGCTCCAGTTGCGAATCCAAATATCGTGTGTTAAGCTTGTGCGCAATGGAAGCAACGTGGATTCGAAGATTACTCCAAGAATTTGGATGCTATTCTTCAAATCCCACCTGGATTGATGTTGACAATCATAGTGACATTAAATTGGCCAACAATCCTGAAGGACCAAACACTTTGAAGTTGATTGGCATTTTTGCTATCGGGTGATAACTCTGTGGAATACATACCAACAGAAGACCAACCGGCAGATATGCTCACAAAAGCCTTGAGAAAGAGCAAGTTCAAAGTAGGGAGGAGGAGACTAAGCTTTTGCACTCCTGCCGAGATGTCTTATGCATCCATGTTGACGTTGGAAGCAAGGAGGAGCAACTAAGTTTTTGCACCCCTTTCGAGATGTCTTATGCGTCCACGTTACTTTCGAAGCAAGGAGGAGCAACTAAGTTTTCACACTCCTTTCGAGATGTCCGATGTGTCCATGTTACCTTCGAAGCATGTAGTAGAAACTAAGGTTTCGCACTCCTACCGAGATGTTTTCATCTGGTAGCACTAGGGTACATGGGAGTGTTGGACGACTACTCTCCTGCTATCTTACAGATGTAGGTCAATAAAGTTACGTAGCTATCATCCAGTTGGTGTAGTGAGCTTCTCACTACTAGCTTTTCATATACTAGTTGCTTCTATATATTCAGTGTGTTTCAATTCTATAATCTAGTTTTTTATCTTCCACACAGTAGGTATCATCACCTTATGCTCTATATATGATTGGTTTTTCTTTTTCATTTGGAAAAACCACACACTAAAGTTAAAATTCTAGGTTTTGAATTTTAGGGTAAAAATCATAGGTTTTAGGTTTTAAACTCTATCCCAAATATTTCACTTCGTTGGTTTCCGCCAAGTCACAAGGAGTCAAGACCGATTCTTGTCTCAAAAATTTGACTTCTGACAATCACGCCACTGAAATAAACATGAACTTGTTTCCAAGCCTCGCAAATACCGGTTTGATGATTGAGTTCACGCTCCACTCGCTCTCAGCTATGAACATTCAAGCGTCCACAAGTTGTCTTCGTTGTCTTTGTAACAATCTGAACGTAACTAGCAGCGGGGAGCGACTAAAACAGGTGCGTTCTTTCTAGGCGCTTCCGCGCAGTCTCACTGGTAGTGACATACATGCCACCACTCCTGTGACTGAAACCGCGACTTCTCCTAAAGCTTAGATAGATCACAGCACCTAGATGCTTGAACACTACCATCGTAGTTCTAGTATATCTTTACAATCATCGCGCTTCCTTAGTTCACTTGGTAGCACTTGATTTAGCATTCGCTCTGTTCGGAGTACCTGCCTGAAAACCTCTCGAATGTGATGGACTCAAGGACCCGTTGATAACCAACAGACCAGGGGATGGAACGACTGTAAGAATACAACTGTCCGTGCCTGAGCATGCTCTAAATAGATAATGTGGTTTTTTTCATTTATATATATATATATATATATATATATATATAACGAGGAATGAATCTATACATGTAGAGACTGTACTTGATCTAATGAACAATCTACGGCTGCTTTGTGTGAAATGAAAGCTTCAGAGCGTCTGCAGCTTTCATTTCTGCCGTCCTCTCCAGCAGAGGACGGCTAGACAACATGGTCAACATGTTAGACAAAATGGGTTTAAAGAGAATGAAGATAATCATACTCTTCGATCCGACTATAGTATACATTCTTCTTCATCTTACAGCATCAACGTATCTAGAATTCATACCTACGGTACCTGTATGCTGTTCATGGGGAGGATTATGGTGCTGGAACGTGAAAATGAATCAGATTCTACAAGAGAATGCACGTCAATTATGCTTTCTTTGGTTTGCAGTAAAGATTGCTCGTGGGAGACATTTTTGCTTGGCTTAAGTAAATACCAGTTGCGTGTGAGATCGGTTTCTTTGCGGACGGTAAATTTGTGCGATGTCTTCTTAACTATCATGCATTCAATCGTACTCATCCACAGCTTTCTATTCTTTATTTCACCTACATTTTTGTTCCTCGTCAAGTCACCGATTCGCTCGAATCATCGATATCATTTGTGATATCATTTGATCGCAACACCATGGCAGTGTAGTAATGACACAACTGTTGTCGCTTATCAGCAACTACTGTCTTAGGATATGCCCTGATAAGAGAACCATGTTTCATATCTCGTTGTATTGTCAAGACCTGGATTACCTACGCACAATCCCGTCCATTTGATTTCGTTATCTATGACCAACTAATAGCTTCGCTACATTTGCTTTGGAATACTGCACGACGGATCCGCATTTTAAAGACACTGAAGTCAATAGCTCAGACGTAAAGAGTTGCTGCAGAGTTACATCTGACACAAGTTTGAATAACGGTAAAACCAATGAAGCTTCAATCAGTAATCATTCATAGCTGAAACTTTCCGAAGAAACGGACGAAAATTTGACCCAGACTATACTTTGAAAGGTCAGATCAATTGTGGTTTCCACTCATCCTCTCACAACGTGGATCTGTGCTGTCTTGAAGACTTAACATGGATGTAAAGATTCTGAACGACGATAATACTCTTGAGACGGCTCTCCGCTATTTTCTCTCTGAGGAAGTGCCAGGACTCCACCAGAACAAAAAAATTCATACTCAGTAATGAACGGACGGATTTTACAAAGTCAATTTCTTATTACGGGAACTCGCTCCAATATATAAACTGCAAACTATAGAGTCATAGGCAGCTTCATCGAAACTGGCAGCACGCTGCGCTTTTGGTGTACGAAATGAAGACGTGAATCTTTCCTAATTGCTGTGTTTTGCTCACTCGATCTTTTCATATTTTACGTTCTTTTGGAAAGCGTGTAATTCTTTTACCTTTAATTCACCTTTTAATTCTAAAGGTGTTTGGGATTCCAGACAAAGGAAAATCGAAGCATGGCCTTCGTAATATTCCAATCCCTGGCGACAAAGAATCTTGGAATCCAACCGTCATCAACGTGTAGTCGTCAGCTGCAACATGCTGGGGAAACTTCTGAGGCGATGAGACTTTTGGACTTGGCACCAAACAAGAAGAAGAAGGAGAAGAGTTGCAAGGAATAAAATTCCCCTCCCGGGTCACGTGATGTGGCGTGGGCACGAACTGAGAACTGGTGGACCTGTTTTATGAAGTCGATCGACGTTGTTGTAGATATTGTTGATACTTCTCACTTCACATGCTGAATTTGTCGTATAGAAATCAGATAGATGGCTTTTGCTTTTGGAAGATCGATCGAAGATCGTGGGGCTCTGGGGGACTCGACGACTGATGACTGGATCGTTCCTGGATTCCGTGCTGAACCGGGCTTTTCAATCGCTGCGTGATTCCGTTGGCCACTTTCATTCAGAACCACCGTTCGATTAAGTCTGAGGAATCTCAAGCTGAGCATTACATCGAGATCTCTCTCGTGCCGTTGTGCATGGGTTTTGATTCGCATCGATCGGGCTTTCTCGTCTGGCTTTCTCCATCCATGTGCCATCCGGACTCTAGTTCATGGGTCTTGTCTTTCTCATCATACCACCAACTGGCGCCGAAGCCAGATGGCCGAAGAAGCCCCAACTGGAGAAAAGGCTTCAGGAAGCATAGCGCGATGTCACTGGATCGAGGAGCGTAGGTGTAGATCCAACAATCAGTGAATCTGTGACGGTATCGTGAAACCGCATGTGCTTGGAAGACCTTCTGTTATATGGAATGAACATGTTTGCCGCACATGCAAGGCCTTCCTATCCGGGGGCCCCAAGATCCTCAGCACTCCTGAAATGGACTTTAAAAGATGATAATCCCGATTGTACTGGAACCTCGAGGCTGTATTTTAGTCTGACGTTTCTCGAGTCGCTGGTTCCTTCTGGTACTGTGAACGGATGTTCCTCCACTCCAGGTAGAAAGTACTGTACTCACTTTGATTGCTCGATAATTTGTCGCTGCGCTTGCGAAGCAGTCCCGTAGGATGCTGGAAGGCTTGTGGCACTTGTGCTATCGTTCTCCAAAGGCCGATTGCTGTCAGTGACTCATCTAAAAGTGCGCCAGAGCAAAATCCTGGAGGTTGAAAGTGTAGAGCAAGGCGTTCATATGTGTTGGTGCAGGCGAGGTTGAAGTGTTTTCGGATTGGACTGATTCGATGGACCAGCTAGTAGGCCTTGTGGCAGCAGCCATCATTTGCGGCATCGTTTATTCGATTCTGCTGGAATGGTGGTTGAAAGTCTGGCTGCCAAGCAAGAGATTACCTCCGGGACCAAAACCATGGCCGCTGGTCGGGAGTCTCTTTCAGGTGCGGAGCATGTTACATGTGGCGAACTTTTTGAAGGCAACGCAGAAATTGGAGTCCAAGTACGGGAAGACGCTCACGTTTTGGATCGGACAGAGGCCTGTCATCGTCATCAACGATCCTCAATTGGCGCACGAGGCACTGATCAAACAGGGTGCATCGTTCTGCAGCAGATGCATGTTCTCGTCAGTGGGTGCCCTGACGAGAGGCTTCTGCACGGTCAACAGTTCTCCTCAAGGACCTTTCCTGAGCAGCATAAGAAGGAACATGATCACGAGCGTGTTCACTCCGAAAGCTCTGAACAAATGGGAGGTCCAGAGGGAGGCGGCCATCGAAGATGTGATCGTCCAAATCAGGCAGTCGATAACAGAGAACGGCGGCTGGGCGCGTGTGAACATCACGACGGTGATTCGACCTGCTTTCTACAAGTATGCTCTATACCTCTGCTTCGGAATGTATGTGGAAGAGAAGGTCCTGATGCAGATCGACGAAATAGTAAACGCAAGAGCCCGAAGCGTTTGGTCCATATACGTCGGCGACTACATCCCTGCCTGGAAATTGGTCGAGTGGAAGCATCGACGCAACGTCACACGCCTGCAGCAGGAGGTGGAGGACATCATGCTGCCACTCATCCGAAGGATTCGCGAGCTCAAAGGCTCAGACGAAATCATTCCCGGGACTTACGCCGAAAGCCTACTCAACTTGCAGGACACAGACCCGCGACTTCGAGACGAGGGCATAACTTGCCTTTGCAGCGAGATGCTCACGGCCTCTTCTCTCTCGGTGACATCTGCAGTACGATCGGGGATGTCCGTGCTCAGCGAGAATCAAGAGGTCCGAGAAAAATTGCTCGACGAGATCGACCGCGTGGTCGGGAACAAGCCAGTGGAAGAATCGCACCTGACTCAGATGCCGTACCTCGCAGCCTTTGAAAAGGAGATTCTTCGGATGTACCCTCCGGCCATAACGCCACCTCCTTATGCCGTCGTCGAGGCTTGCAAGCTCGGCAATTACGACATTCCGAAGAACGCCGTCATTTATTTCCACATCCACGCGTATCATCAAGACCCCACGGCGTGGCCCGATCCCACCGAGTTCAGACCCGAGCGCTTTTTGGAAGAGGAGGTGGACATGAGTTGTAAAAAGGAGGTGAAGCTGATGCCTTTCGGTGCGGGCAGGAGAATTTGCCCCGGAATGAATCTGGGCTTGATGGAAGTGTCGATATTGATCGCGCGCCTGCTGCAGAACTTCGAATGGAGTCAGGACGACATGACAGCCCCGTCCACAGACACGAATGACTCGCGTCCTGCTGCCTTGTCGGCCCTTGCACCCAGCTCGGAGAGCTTAAGGAGGGGAATCATGATTGCTCGGATCAGACAGGCCCGAAAGCAACCATCGTAACTAATTGTGGTGTTGAGACTCAGATCGCTGGAGTGACATCATGCAGTCATTATCCCATGCATGGAAATCTCATGCCGAAATAATGGGGATCCCGTGCCTTCATTGTCTACTGTGACAAGCAAGGCGAACGAGTTCTCTTCTGCGAAATCTCATCATCTCGTGACGTGAAACAATTTTCTATATACAATAAACTACTAAAATCTGACTGCCAACTCGTCATCTGTATTCTTCAAAATTCGTTCAAAGCACTTTATCCTGAGCGGTCCACTCTCAGTAATTTGAATGGACGAGGATGGATTGTGTAGATAGTTCAACAAGTATTCCTCGACCATTGAGATGTGTAGTAGTAATACCATGTATAGTATACAAGACATATATTCTCGGCGGAGAATAAATCTAACTAGAGTATATGGAAATTGTTAACTCTTCCAATTTTATTTTTTAAGAAAGCATTGGAAGTTGATATTATGCATGGAATAGAAATGTGTGAAAAAATTATTTACAAGTATGCACTATTGTAACTTCTGAAAGTTGGAAAAACAAATGAAACTTTAGATAAGTAAAGCTTCGAGTAGTTTATAGATGTGGAAAAAAGACAAAATAATATGTCATCTCAGCGAGACTTGTAATCTTCAACAAATTATTGTTTGGGTGAGATTTATCAAATGATATTCTAGAAGATGCAGAATATGAGAAGTCAATTTTACTCATTGCACAAAAATTTAGCTGAATACATCAAAATCAAAATTTTCTTGTAAAATATTCATTTCTATACAAAAAATAGATTTTTTTACCACAGGTTAAATTAAGTCATTATGATCATTTCGACATACTTGATTGTATTTCATTTTTTGAAATTAAAAATAATAAAAAACTGACAATAACTTTGACATTTTCAACAGAAATTTAAAATTAGTTATATATTCTCTGCATCTCAACAAAAAATATCTTCGTGCATGTATTTGTATTATGTATATTATTTGTACATTTGAGATTTTTTTTTACTTTTTAAATAACGAATGTTAGGTTTTAATGTGAAATGACACATATTATAGATTTGGAATAATTAACATGCATTAATCAAGAATCAAAATAACCAGACAATGACAGCGTATTCGGACACAAGTTGACAACAAGATATAACATGGTTCATTCAAAGTCTACATCCACGACAATATAACGCGAGAGATACTATTAGCAATATGAAAAACGTACATGTGGAAGTCCTTGAGGTATTTGATGACACATTCTAACTATCTTTAGCTAAAAACCGAAATTACTCCTTAACAAAAGTTAATCTCAACCATCTCCACTTTAATCTATGTTAATGTAACAATAATCTCTATAAGTTATAATATCATTCCGCGAGAAATTCTAAAAGTAAATCTAACACAATTTCTCTCTTGTCAATTAGAGTTAACTAGAACTTAATCGTAGCCATAATAGTATAGAGTAATAATATAAAAAAATAACTTTAACACCTTCTAGCATAGAAAGAACATTAAAATCTGTAGCCTATATAATAATTCGACAATAAAATCTAGAATGAAACCTAATAGAAGAACACTCTTTATACCAAGAGTGAACTAAAATTATGTAGTAGTCATCATGATATAGAATAATTACAAAAAATAAATATATAATGAGATAATTAAAAATACTATGTTTTCAAACTCTACTTGTGTTTCATATGCACAACTTGCATAATAACACAATGTTGAATAAAACTTTCCAAAGGAATAATTTTGATTTACGTATCACATGGATTGAGTACACCATATATCTTCACTAGTTCAATCATTTTATAATAAATTTTTTTTATGATAAAATAATACCAGATGTTGATATGCTTCACTTTGATATCCATAATCTGATCACGTCTTGTGTCAATAACATCTCCATGATAAGCTTGTTCAACCAAATAGTTTTAATTTGCTGCTTATGTTGCCGTCACATACTCAGCTTCCGTTCTAGATTGAACTACACATTTCTGCAAGGTAGATGTTTCATCGTCAAGTGTAAACATATACCTACTAGTAGATCTATTTTTGTTCAGATCATGTCCTTGATCAGCATCAATGGACCTCAACAAGGATTTGACATTTTCTAATAAACTATCAAACAATAAATTATAATCCACAATAGACTTAAGATATCTCAGAATATATCTCATTGTTTCCTAGTGAACTTTCTCTAGATTTGACATGTACTTATTCACCTTGCCCATCGTTAAAATAATATCAGGCCTACTGCACACCATCAAATACATGAGATTGCCAACAACTTGTTCATAGTAAACACAAGACATACTTTGATTTTCAATAACATCAATAGATCATTGAATTAAGAATAGTTTGGAATGTGGTGTCAAAGGAGTCCACACTACTTTTGATTGCATATGAATTTCTGAAGTATAGTATACACTCGCTTAAGTCTGCACTCATTTAAGTCCGCATCCCAATTAAGTCCGCACTTCACAACGCAAAATTCCTGAATCAATTGTCAAGAGTGTATTTTACAAAAAATCAAATAGTCATTTGGCGGCTATTTTCAATTTGCTTCCGAGCTATCGCGGATTGTCCAGTTTGTAAAATGCTACGGATTTTGAATAGTGCTGCCTTGGCTTGATCTATATGGTCAGATGATAAATATGGCGAAGATTTTAGGTCATTCATATTGACATCAAGACTGATTGCACACTCTAAAGACTGAAGTATAACATTCCGCTGATCAATGTCGTTTTGAGCCGAGGTTGGTTCGGGTTCATCGTCTTTGGATTTAATGACAGACTCGTGAACAAGGACGGCACCCATTGCTTGTTCGATCTTTTCAAAAAGAGTATTTTTGAATAGCTCTGAATCATCGTTGTCATCAATCAGACATTGCTAAATTTCATCATGAATGTCAATTTCGTGATTGCCACTCAATAGATGATAATTACTCAGATTACGAGCACTTTTGTCCACGGTTTCATCATTGTTGTTGCCAAGGTCAACATTCTGGAATGCAGAAATAATATCTGCTTTTTAGTCATGTACAATGGCTAGTTCCACGACGTAACATTTGGCGGGAAGAACGCAACACGGATATCATTCCGCTCAAAGTCAATCGAGTGACCAAGAGCATTATCAAGGATCAATAGAACCTTGTGACCAGTACGTTTACGAACATATGGCTCAAAAATCTCATCGAATCACTTGTTGAAAGTCGGCACGTCAATCCAAGGGTTCTTTTGCTAAAGATATAGAATTGGCCATATGTTGCCTGAAATACATGCGTGCTCCTTCGCCTTACCGATCATGGTGATTGAGACTCATTTAGTCCCTGTGGCATTGCAACAAAACACAAGAGTCACGCGATCTTTTGATTTTTTCTTGCCCTGGACGGTTGACGTATCTTCATTTGGCATCAAAACAGTGTAACTTGGAACAAGTCGAAAGAACAATCCAATTTTGTCCATATTGTACACGCAAGCTGGATCATACTGGTTGATAATTGCACTTAACTCATTCAAAGCTTATAGAGTTTAAGGATTATTTTTGTCAATCTCACCGCCTTCACCAAACAAGTTCGTGCCGATTAAACCAAACCGATGACGAAATCTCAAAAACCATCCCCGAGAAGCCTTGAACTTATCATCAACTATCTTCATAGCCTCGGAAATTTGTTTTGCTTTGTGGCAGATGAGACTGGACGGCAAAACAAGCGACATTCACCGTCCAACATCAATCCATTTGTACAGTGGTTTCTCAAGCTCAGGAAACGATGAATACGAGACGCGAAATGTGTATTCTTGAGTGGCATGGTCAATCCTTTGAATTCGTTCACAAATCTCATCTTTGCTTGCTTTCAATTTCCGAATAATCTTCTCGTCAACACCGTATTGACGAGCAATGCTTTGATTAGTCGACGGTTTGGATTGCTCCAATACAGTGATAATTTCCATTCTTTGACGGTTATTCAGACGTTGATCATGACCTTTGCGTTTCACCACACGTCCGCTCATTGTTGCAAATGAACTCGAAACTGTGTTTCATATGTGCTAACCCTAATCTTCATGTGTATTAACCCTAATCTTCTTTAGGTCCACATCTCAATTAAGTCCACACCAGATCTCCCGGATCAAGTTGCGGACTTAAGCAAGTGTATACTGTATACGACAAATATACTTGCCCTGACTCAACCATAGTTTCTTCTTTGTCGTTTGTTCAAATGTTGTTGCTCGTCGCGTGTTCCGTCATATGGCTCCTCCTTGTGGATTTTACGTCCATAGGGATTTTCCGATCCTGCCAAGTTTTTTGCGTGCCATGTGTTTTGTCCTTGCATATGTGTCGTGTTGTCCACGTCATATGTCAACTAGCAATCCAACTGCACTGCATCGCTAGTCTTGGACCCGTCATGTCATTGTCACATATAGGTTCTTCTTCAGTCACTTGCGTGGCCTGTATGGCGTAGCCATGTCAACATCTCGCGCGTTTGGAGGTTTGCACAAGATCATTCATTCACGTGTCAAATTGTTTTGTGTGCCGGTTTTGTGAGATCTACGTGGCAACCTGTAACTTGACGTGTTGAAGATACTATGCTGATGTGGTGATGTGTCGCCCGCAGAATCAAAGATTGGCATCTGCGCACACTGCATTTTTCCCCGCTCATTGTCGCAGTTTTGGCTCATTGCCCCGAAAAGGTCTTGATTGTTTTTGCCTTGGGCGCAAGTGGGCCTCTATGTGACTGCATTTTTCCCCGCTCATTGCATCATGCGATCCCTGCTTGACTTTGCGCTGAAAAGAACGCTGGCTGTGCTTGTCTTCGCGCGTTAGCGTCTTGTACTTTCTAGCTTCTACGCTCGCTCGCGGAGCTGAAAATCCTTTTGTACTGCATGTAGTTATTGGCTTCTAAATCCTATGTCTCCAGATGAGATGGAGATGTAGATTATTGTGAGTAGGTTTTGTCTTAGTGAAGTTGGGTTTGTCTGATTCTAGGTGCATCTCCTAGAGATGTTCGCTTGCAGTGAGGATTCGAGCAAAGTTGTGAGGTGAGCATTTCACAAGAAGCTCAAATCATTTCCGTCCAAGACTTTCAGAAACAAGCCACACGTACCTTTGGCAAACTTACGCTGATTATCTTAAACATATTCAACTAGATAATTTCTAGAAGAGCTCATGGCTGTTGATACTTTTAACAAAGAGCGGTAAAATTTCATCTGAAATGTCATGTACACGAGCAATTACTTGAAAAGAACCGACGACATGACAGAAACTAACAAAACTTCAATTTCAAGAAACACCGCTCTCTAACTGCTGGTCCGCATTTTGGAGATCTTGACACAAGATCGAACTTGAGACCGTCATTATTGTCGCAATTTTTGCCCGACCCGCAGTTGACTCCCCTTCCCGAGAATTTTCTGACATATTATTGCGAAGCCTTTTAAATTCTTCCACTCTTGAACTTCAAATTTCTTTTGTACTGATGAACGCCACATGAGAACGGAATGTGAGCTACCAACTCCGGCACAATCTTGCCTTCTCCTCTTCAAACTTGGAACCAAAATTGCTCGTCTTTCTTCTACTTGTACTCTTCAACTCCCTCATTGATTCTGGCCTCGAACTCAAATCTAGTCTCAAAGAACTCCAAACTGTCACCTTGTGATAGTCAGGAATTCCCTTCAACTTGTCTTCCATCTCAAACTCCAATTGTCACCTCGTGAGTTCAATAGAAATTCCCGTCAACTCGTCTTCAATCTCTTCGCCTCAAGACTTTCAACTTTCTGTCACCACACGAATTGTCAAAAAAAATCTGAATGTAATCGTTCCAACAAAAAAAGTACTGGAAGTATGAAAAAAGTATGTAAAGTTGAAGTCTTTGGGATATTTAACCCCACAACGTATCCTAGCTATCTTTAGGTATAAATTGAGGATACTACATAATATGAGTTAATCTCAACAATAATTCGATTTATTAAGATTCAAGTCTTTGATAGTGTAAAAAGTATTGATTTATGTTCAATTCATACTTGATATAGGAGTGAATCTTATGTCTTTAGTTCAAAATGACTTGAGTGAAGTTATGTACAAATGCTGATTATTATGAAGAAACTTTTAATAAAATAATCAAAAGTTGTGTAATCTAATCAACTAGGGCAATACTTGAGATGCATTTTGATCACAAGTGTTTGAAAGAATTATAATGTTGACATAGATGGATATGATTTGTGAATATCAATGATGCATATGATGTTAAAGAGTGACAATAACCTTTGATTTGTTTCACATGGGAAAAATATACTTGAATGTGTACACAATTGATTTGATCATCAGAACATTAGTGGCCATTAACGTATGTTTTAATTTATTATTATTATTGCTTAAGCAAAACATTTCCGCCACTCTCCACAAATCACGTTATCTGAAAATTTGTGTGACGTGGACAACAATTATTGAAATTCAAATATTAGTTCAAGATGTATAAGTATAAGAGTCAAACTTTTGATTAATAAGAAAGAAGTGACTTACATCTTGTCTATCATAGTTCACATGGGTGTATATGTAAATTATTGATATTTTCATTGTCTTTGAATGATATGAATTAGCATAAATCTAGATGATTGCTCTTTCCATTTTTTGTATTGAATGAATTAGCGAACTTGCTTTTCTTGGATGAAAAACTTTATAGTGAGATTAATTGCATGTGGTTTGGAACATGCATCAACTTTTTTTACAAAATATATGACACGACTTAGAAGCTTTGAGATATGAATGAGTCTAACGTCCAATTGTAAGTGAAAAAAATTGATGTGGTGCTAGCTTTTCCAATTTTAACAGTACAGCGCAATGCGCTTTGTGCCTACTACTTTTTTGGCAGTTGTGAAATGGGGAAATTAAAAGGCTTGGGGTTGAGACAAGACTTCTTGAATTGTCTGAGAGAGCTTATAATTTGTTAGGAGATAACTCAGTCATTAGTTAACTTCAGTTAGTTTGAATTCAAACTCAGGATTTTCTTCTGATAAAGCAGTTGTGTTTTTTGGACGTAGGTCAACTAGATGAATCGTATATGTTATCTGTTGTGTATCTTCTAACTGTATGGAATTTTCGATCAAAGATCTTAAAATATAAAATTGAACGGTCACACAAGATGACAGCACTTTCAAAAAATGCTCCCAATTAGCTAGTAGCATGATGTTAAGTTGAAAAATTTGACACAAATTGAATAGTTAATGAAAACTTTGAATTTGACTTAAGAGACGGCTCAGTAAGTTTACCAACGCTTGAATAACGATTGCGTGGAAGCAATTTCGGATTTACATGCTAAGCTCTTTGTGACATTGCAAGAGGTGGAGGTCGGTGTGTTTGTTGCAAGTGCAGTAAATTCCAAATGTTGAGATTGCCGGGAGTGTTTTGTGTAGCAATTGTAATTGCTGCATATGAGGAGAGTATAGAGTAGAGATAATATGTTCAGTTTTACAACTGTTTGTTTGAAAAATTGCAACAGAGACAGAGTAAAACAGAAGCTGGAGAAGCCGTGGACGCGACTTGACATGATCTGAATATAGTGAAGAAACCAGAGAACGCATGAATTTTTGATACTGCAAGAAAAATTTGTGGCAAACCGCATGATTTCAAATTCATTCAATTAACTTTCTCACTCTGTTAAACTGAAAATGAATGTGTTACATGTTGTTGAGTCAAATCAAATATGCAAAACATACAAAGACGAATTGTAAGAGTGTGTTGGAAGCGCAAACTTAAAGAACTGCCAAGAATTTGTGTTAAATGCCTCAACTTCCTTGGAAATTGACATCATACACTATAACACTTGTGTCTATTTTGTCATCAATATCAAGAAAATGATATGTCTATTATATTGTCCAACATGCATTGTTTTATAATTTTATCACGTTATCATTGTCAAGCATTGGATAAGACATGGGGAAATCTTTATTTTAGAAGAATGAAAACTTTACCAACGTGACTGTTTATAAATTAGGAAGTAAACAAGGTATACATAATTTTTGAAGTTTTTAAACTGTCATCTTTACTATCTTCTAAAGTGTTGTATATAAGCACATCGTTATATGGAATAAGGGAGTACATACAAACCTCAATTGGAGCCATTTACTTATTATTATATTTGCAACATGGAATCAATGAAAGAGAAAGTAATGATAGATCAATTTAAAACTTGTTTCTGCGAAGTAGGAGGGTGAGTTGATGATACGAGAACGGAGCATTGAAATCATTCGTTACAAAAAGTAACTGAATTTTGAAGTTAATGAGGAGTGTCAATTGCCACGATTAATTATTTTGATAATTGTTAAGGGATGGATGTCGCTAGCTTTATTGATATGGCAAAGAAGATTTATCCTAAATTCTAGCTTAAAATCGACAAGGACTACACTCAAATGATTGTCGTTATTAGACATGTGAATTGGTATTGGAACGGTAAAGAATTGATCTAATTCCTAATGTTTGAAACAAGAATTTGTAAAGATCCCGCAAGAGTGAAGTACCGTGCTAAAGCGACAAGTGCTTGTGTGTAGAAGATAATTGATTTGTGAATAAAAAATGATCCGTCAATAGTTTGGATGATACTACTATGTCATAAAAAAATCATGAATTGTAAGGAGATTTTGACTTCTCGTATCATACTATTAAGAGACCTTAAATTTGGACCTGAAATTGAGAGACACGTGTTGAGGTTGTAGAATAAGATATGTGGAAAAGAAGTTGTTTTTTGCTCGAAAGCAAAGTTCGTTGAAGGGAAAGGTCAAAGTAGACTTATGTACAATCCAAATAACTGACGATAGACTTCGTGTAACACTGTTTTTACACCAGCAGAACTTAATTCCGAGATATATTTGGAGCATTGAACTACCGTAAACTAGATTTAATTACAAGCACGTGTACCCATTTTCGTCCTAAGGACATGGAAGAAAATATACTACGGGTTACATTCGTTCACTCAAGTAAAAGGAAAATAAAGTATTCAAAAATTTATATTTACCCTGCATTCTGCCACGTTCGTAATGTTCATTCAAACGTACTTTCCTTACCACTCACCCGCCTAAAATTGCATACAGCGCACACGTTTCACAGGTTGAAGGTGCATAATTTAAATCTAGAAATCATAATCGACACGTTTTCATCTCCGACCTAGTATAAAAAGGTGACACATTTCGCTCATATGCAAGCTAAATTGCGTCAAGTTTAACCGTTTTTTTATATCTTTCAACACCCTCATTTCTTCTTCTCGACCTTACTTTTAAGTGTGTACACTTCACCCTAAAAACTTTGTCTCTTTGAATAGAGGTGAGGATATCATGCGCATGCAACGAAGCATGTTGTAGTTGTATCCAGGCCGAACCCTAATGATATTGTTGGTGGGCTGGCGAAATTGAACGCCGCTACTCTACTGACAGCTGAGCTTTTTTGTTCGTAGTGGCAGTCTGAAATATAAACTTTTCACATAACAACAGAAGAATATACACTACATAAATATATTCTACCTGCTCGTCATCAGATTCAGGTGTCAAATTGTAAAAATTTTTGAAGGTTATATTTTAAATTATGTCAAATCCTTTAAATATGCCGACAGTCCACAGATCAGACCAAATCCATACCGCACGTCCTAAGTCGAATGAAACATTCTTACAAAGCATCCGACTTGAAATATTTATGTCAGTGCTACAACCATTCACTTTTTACGACCCATAATGTAAAACCCATGTACTATCTATCCAAGCTGAACCTACTCTAAAACATCCGTGAAATTGATTTCCTTCTTTAACGTCACGACAGAAACACACATCAAAAGACTGCTAACTTCAAAGACGTAAATAAAATGAAAGTGTTCAGAATTGGATACTGACAGTTGTATTTGAAGAGCATTTTCATATGTACTAACATTTCCGAATACAGAAAAAAAGATTCTCTGCAGGTATATGGCAGTCCAACATTAACTGGCGCGTTGCTAGATTTACTAGTAAATTACCACATAAAGCGCAAGCAACACTACCAAGAAAATTCCAACTGATAAACTGGGAGGAAGTATAAAATGTCTCCGTCACAGAGACATCAAACAAAGAGCTTGACCCAACTGTGATATTCATAATAGGAAAAAACTAAGTTCCACAAAAATCTGGACACCGGACAAAACTCCAACCTTAATCCTTCTTACTTTCCGGAAAAACTTTCATCTTCGCGTCATGTAACTTTATGTCACTCGGTAGAGTTTACATAGGAATAATGTCAAGACAATCTCACTGTGGACAAGCCCTACGCAAAGTGGGTTGCCATTATTGCCCAGCATATTGAAAAAATTTGACATGGGGCCACGTGAAGAAAGGCTGCCGTTGCGAGCCCCCCATTTCAATGATACAAGTTGTTGAGATCAACACTTTGAGCTAATTCGACAATGGAGCAGTTAGCTCGCAAGAAGTCAATAGTATAATTTTACAAAGACAAATGATGACCAATGCTAGGGCATATTACGCAGAACCCACAGGCAAGACATGTCGTCGGAACTCACCTTCAATGGGGCCTACTCCCTTTCGTCAAAATCGCGTTTTAGGTTTGCTACGGACTACTATCCCAAATGGTGTTGGCTACTTGTCCCGAGGTAGGAGAAAGGGAAAAAGAGAAAAGCTGAAAAATGTTCCTACAGACCAGCTTTCTTCTTGAGATGTTGCTTGAAGTCCATGATGTCGCCCTCCCACCTTGTCGCGGTCTTGTTCTCGCATACCCAGATCTCCTTTGCCACCTGGTTGATGAGCCTAAAGTCGTGACTGACCAACACCAACCCTCCGTCCCACTCGTTCAGGGCCTCGGCCAGAGAGTCAATCGTCTCAATATCAAGATGGTTGGTAGGCTCATCCAATAAAAGCAGATGTGGCAATCGCCATGCCAGCCATGCAAAAATCACTCTACTCTTCTGACCGTCGGAAAGGTTTCCCATTGGCATGATTTGGGCTTTGCCTGTAAGTCCAAATTTCCCAATAGCCGCACGCATCTTCTCTTCTTCCAACCCAGGGTACTCTGACATCATATATTGCAGCGCTGACACTTCAAGATTTAAGGTCTCTGCCAAATGTTGATGATATTGGGCTATCCGAAGGTGGTTGTGGCGCCTAACCATACCGTCGTTGGGCACTACCTCTCCAGTCATCAGCTTGAGCAGAGTACTCTTCCCGGCTCCGTTAGGACCGACAAGCGCAATACGAGAATCCAAATCCACACCAAAGTCTATCTTATCGTATATGAGGTTGTCCGGAGTGTATCCAAAAGAAACCTCCACAAACTGTAGGACTGGAGGTGGCAACTTTCCTACATCTGTAAAACGAAACACAAGAACCTTGTCTCTCACAATCTTCTCCGTCAATCCACCTCTTTCCATCTTGGCTAGAGTCTTTTCCTTACTCTGTGCTTGTCGGGCGAGCTTGGCGGATCCGTGACCGAATCTGGCAATATACTCCTTCATGGCTGATATCTGCTCCTGTTCCCATCGGTACTGCTTCATCTGATTCTCTTCAAGCTCAGATCGTGTCTGAACATATTGATCGTAATTACCTGAGAAAAACTTGAGCTTCTTATTCTGCATGTGAATGATGTTGGTACACACACCATTCAGGAAATCCTGGGAATGTGAAACCACGACCAGAATTCGATCAAACTTCTTCAGGATCTCCTCGAGCCAGACACAGGCTTCCAAATCTGCAAACAACAGTGGCACCTGACACTATCAGAGCCCATCAAGCTAAGGTTCTCAAAAATGAAACTTCAAGCAACTAGGTTAACACGGGCTATGGCAGATAAGGTTTTCTCGAATGGTGACAACCGTCAAATGCCTACCAAGATGATTGGTAGGTTCGTCCAGGAGAAGGATTGTAGGATTCATGAAAAGTGCCCTAGCCAAAGCGATACGCATTCTCCATCCTCCAGAGAAATCGCGGGTCTTCTTTGATTGCATCTTCTTGGTGAAACCTAGACCATGAAGAATTTCTGCTGCTCTTTTTTCGGCAGTTGCAGAGTCCATAGCTTCCAGTCGCTCGTAAATTCTGTCCAAAGCTTCGCCACCTCCATCATCCTGGATGAGAAACAAAATGTCAAAATAGTACACAAAAACGCAGAGCACGGTAGGAGATAAACGAATCAGAACACTGTTTGAAAAGCAATGATTACAGGCCCACACAAGAAATGGCCACATGCAGCAAGCTGGGACTAAGAATGCTACTTCAGACTTCAAAACGTGACTGAAATCTGTAACCCTACCCGAGCGGCCAATCTTTCGACTTCTTTTTCCAAGACAAGGCGCTCTTCGTCGACATTCATAACGGCTTGCAAGGAAGTCAAGTCTGAAGCGTCGATTTCCCTTGTCAAGTGATAGATATCCATGTGGTCAGGTATGGGAACTTCGCGCATTCCAATCGATGTCAATAACGTGGATTTTCCGCACCCATTAAGCCCCAGTAAACCGTAACGCCTGCAGACGAAGTTGCGTATTAGTGAAAAGATTTACAAGCATTTCAGAACACAAAAAAATCACCTCGCATACGTGCATCGATACTTCATGAAAGACACAAAAAACTCACCTTCCATAATTCAACTCTAATGTGGAGTCCGAAACCAATTCGTGTCCGTGAAAAGTCACCGACAGGCTCTCAATCTGCACACACACATGACGCATAAAAATCGCACTTATTGAGAAAAATTTCACGACCACACACATTCACCTATCGGATCTAGAATGCAGCAATGCCAAACACTCAGACCGTCAGAAACATATTGTAATCAGACGTCAACCCTCTCCAGCCCTGCGCGAAAACGCATCCGAAGTAACCAGGGGCAAGTAACAGCAAGGTCATACACCACGTTGACCGCTACATTTCGGCCCATCTTAGAGACGAGTTATGCGCAGTCTTCATACTCTTTCACATCCAGGCGCGGACATCGGTTACATGCCCCAAAAGTAACCTCAAACTCAGCTTTAATGTAAGTGACCTAAATCTACATACGGTGATGTCGCAAAGGAATCTCAAAATGGAAACCACGATTAGTCATAACATAGTCTGTGCTAACGACAAGGCCTATATTTTGTAAATCTACAGCATAGCTATTGAACGATTGACCCCGGCCTAAAATCTCCAACGACCAGTCTACGGCTTCGGTACTAGTAAAAGCCAAACAGATGCACATGCCAGGCCGGCCATTTCGCCTCCGTGCGAACTACGAGACCATAATCCTCTCTAAGACCATCTTCAAGCGTACTCGGTGACAAAGATAAGACTCGTTTCCATCGCATCGCGATCGTCGTGACAAGAACATCTCGCAGGTTGAAAGACTAAACTGCTCCTGCATGTTGTAAGTGTCCAAGACATCCCTAGAAATGTCCAGGTTTCGACAACACGTTGGGCATAAACAAGAAAGTAACTAACTCACATGAATATCTCGAGACTGCGGATGCGATGCTAAAACTCCAGTACAAGTTCGATCCGTAATCGCCGCGGCAGCCAGTTCGGCAGCAAGATCGTTTCCATTGGTGTCTTCCGCCTTCGATCCAACCGCGGCAGATTTGGATCCTCGCTTGGCTACGGCAGCAGCCTTCTTGGCTGCGGCCTTCTTCTTACTGGCGTCAGACACCATCTTTCGAAGCCTTACAACTTCAAAGAGAAAACTCCACCACCGACACGAACTCTCCGAGCCTGCAACGGACCTGTCAACGATGCCCGACAGGAAGGTACTGAAAACCGAAACTTCCTTCAATTCCCTCTGGAACGGATGTTCGATCCACCTCCGGATCGTTGTCCGAAAAATTTCCTGTTCTGCACCGCCGAACTCTGAAGAGACCTAATTACTCCTCCACCACCACCGGGAAGAATGAATTACGTCTCCTGAATTGTCCGACGAGACTCAAATCGATGGCAGCACGAGAGACACGAAATCGTCCAGGCTACGTCTATGTGGTTTCGTCCACTCTGTCTGTTCCACTCACCGGTCGAGACGCTGCTGTGCCTGGCACGAAAGCAGGCTGGCTCGTGCAATGAAAGGAGCAGCGCAAGGCGACCTTGCTTGCAGCTCTTGTGCTGCTGCTGCTGCTGCTGTGCCTGGTCTGGTCTCGTCTGGACGAGAAAGAGACGTCTCTGCAGCCGACTCGCTCCTTTGTTGCAGCCTTGCAGGGCGTTGCTTCGTCCCTTGCCCTTCCTTCCTCCCTCTCTCTCCCTCCCTGCCTCCCTCAACGAACGGCTCCCAGAGCATCTCGCGCCCCTTAATAGACTCCCGCTAATTTTTATCCACCGTCCACTCTTCCGTTGCCTTCCGTTATCTCTCCCAGAACCATCACGCCGTCTTCTCTGGCACCGCTCTTCGTCGCCCCACCGAACTTTTCCTCCTTTCCCCACTATCTTCGTTCATATTTGTTCGCTTTTTCTTTTTGTTCGGTACTTGCTTAATTCTCGCAATTCTATTAACATCTGTAGAGGTATTTATTTGTAGGCTGCTCGTCCAGAACCCTAATACAGTCGCTCTCAGCCTAGAACTCAAACCACCTGGAAATATCAGAGGTAAATAAAATAGCAAATTCGAGAATTACATATAAATATATCTTCCTTCACTCTTGCGAATACAAACCTCATGGCTACGGTATATAATAATTTTTGCTTCTTGAATAAGTATTGAGTTTTCCGAAGTCAGAATCCATTATCGATTTCTCTTTCTCATCAGACGACTATGTCGAAACTGAGCTTTCTACGGCTTCTTAAATATGTTCGATTGATCAAGATTGATTCGATGTTCTGGGATAAAATTCTATTTTGAAAATTTATTTAGAATTCTCGGATGGATCAATTCAAAACGTAGGTCTTGACAGTCTTTTTTCATAGGTATTTTTTCATGAGACGAAATCTTCAATTATTGAGATGAAAATCCATTGTTGATTTTCTTTCGATGCCGTCGATTCTTGTCTTTCTCCGACTTCCGTCGAAGTCAAGGTTTGAACATCTCTCAGTTTCGTCCTTAGGCAGGAAAGGAGTTTCGTCGACTGACAAGGCGACTTTCCTGCCCCGACCCACGCAGAGTTTAACGAGCCCGCGTCATCCCGTAGACGGGGACGTCACAAACTGACGACCGACCTGTTAGTTAGTCCGGGGTCATAGCGCTGTTATTGTCTGCCGCATTGGGTTTTATAAATGGAAGGGAAAGGACGGGATCGCAAAGCAAAGATAGACGGTTGCCGTTAACGCTGTGAATCATCGAATGTGGTGATGCCACCTACATCAATGAACTTAGTCATGTGTTTGTATGTGTTTGCACCTCCGACTAATCTATGAAGGGTTATAGATTGTTTTGAGGTGCAATCAGGGCTCCGTACAAGCACAGGTGCTGATTGATATTGAATTTTTTTGATATAGGATTAGATGTGGTGTTTTTTCCTTCTTGACGTAAGCAATAAATAAATATAAGTAAAAAATCTAGTACAAGAATAAATTATATTCAAATTATGAAAGACTACATGTAACTCTCTTGTGACATGAAACTAAAGTAAATTTGAAATCAGAAATAATCAACTCCTACGTATGGATCTTTTGAAATAAAAGGTTAAATAATTCAAAAATTCAAAAATAACATATTCGACATGTCTACAAGTAGACAATGATGTTGAATCCCTGATAAGAATAATAATTAGAAAGAATAATTTACATCTGAACTTTATATGTTCAAGGTCAAGGAAAAAAATTGGTCATTCTGACGGTATAGAATACTAAGATGTGTCCAATACTTTGTTTCCTTGTGAAGCTATAAGGAAATAGGTCACTATTACATAGTGATGTTTGGAATTTGACATTATGTTCAACTTCTAAAACATATTATCAACATCACAAGCGAGGAGTTGCTTGAAAACTGTGCAACAAAAAACCATGAACAATACGGGAATAACCACGAACAATCTAGATGCTTAGATAAGTCATTCACCATGGTTTCATGTTAAACTCTACGAAAGAATTTAATTAAAGATGTTGTTAATCCTGTTGGAAAAATACAGCAAAAAGATGGAAAGACCCATCAAACCTTGCATGAATTATGATGGAACCGAAAGAAAAAGATGGAGCATGGCTTAAATATCATCGAAATTGCAAACCTCTACTTGGATGCCGATATTTAAGAGTAAAGTTGACAAACATGTACCATATGACGAATTTTCCTTCAAGAAATTCATTGATGCTCGAAAAGCAACAAATTGAATGTTCCTGTGGAAGCATAAATTGGAAATCCAAGTTTCAAGATCATGGGCATGCATGAACTTGAACTCCTGTGCCTTTCAGTAGCAATTAAAAGTCCGGAAGCGTGCATAGTAGGAAATGAATTAAAAGGTTATTGAGGTAGAGAAGAAAATACTATTCAAAAATAAGAAAATATGTTGTCTTCTATTGCTTCTACTTCAAGTGATGTCCACTTTAGAAGCTTCACGCCTCTTCTGCGGTGACGAGCTTTCAGCTGGGGTTGGTACGATGATTTTCTGCTCTGTCGATTGACCATCGGCTTGTGAATATTCGAGACACGGTCGCAGATTTTTTAGGATTTTTTAATTCTTGCAATCTCGACACATATTTCCTGGTCTCCTCTGATTACGATGACCAACCACATAATCACAAAAATCTCTCGTCTAATTAGATCCCTACAGTACAACCCAGTCACGTCTGCAGTGATAGTGGTTCACCGTGACGTACGGGTCTCGAAAATACCAATTTTGGTTGAGGTAGAAGAATTTGGACGAGTCTGTAGGACTGTGCACCACTGCAGGCTATCATTGTCCGCCAAAAAGAGCTCCTCTTAAAGGCAAGTAAAAATTGGCCTTTTTTGTGGTGGTGACATCTGGTGCACGGAAGAAGGCCGGCCCTAATTCCAAATAACCCTAGATTAGCCTAGCCGCATAGAGTAACCCGGATGTGGAAAGGAGAAGCAAACCCTAAACGAAAGCCTCCATCCGAAACGAACCCTAAAGCCTTGCTTTTGCAGTCCTCTAGTTACCACCCGTTGTAGACAACGAGTTACACGGATGTTGACAACAGGACATTCTTCAGCTGAATGCAGAGGGTACAGTACACTTCCGATTTCTCGTTATCACCATTAGGTACGTCCCGTCGATGCACGCAACAAAGACTCTGATGCAAAAGGGCTTCCCGGATGTCCAAAATTATCGTTGCAATCCTGTAACTTTCCATTCTAATGGCGCCCCCCTTCATACAAGTAGACAAACTCATGCCCAAAGGCATTTATCTTTGTATACATATATACACTGATGAAATTATTCTCAAGAATATATTGTCTTTAATTCAACGTAGATTATATATGAAACATTATGATTCTAATATATAAAAAAATTTAGCTCTATTGGGTGTGATAGATAAATCTCCCGTAGATGTTAATTCGGATGATATGTTGAAGTCAAGTTCATTTGACTCGACTTGAAAGATGTATGATATATCGATTTTTACAAGTTAATAATTTTATTTATTAACTTGTTTAAAACAAGTTATATTGAAAGCCTATCATTTAATAATTGAAAGACTTTATAGGGTATTCCCATCCTTCCTACTACTTAAGTGTGTCCACTTGGCCGCACAAGCAATTTCATTGCGGACTATTGTATCGGAAATCGATTCATGATGCAATTTGTATTTATCATAGTTACGTAGAAAGCACACTTAACCTTAGGTAGTAAGAATGAATAAGATCAATGCGCAAGCCATTGGAGCAAACTCATGAATTAACATATGTCTTTGACTGGACTTTCAACCGACGACTGGACGTGTAAATGATTTCACTAGCAACAAGGTTTTCGTTGTGGCAGGTTATGTGGATATTCAAAACAAACAAAAATGTTCATGGAGTTGTGGACAATGCTGCGTAAGATGAAAGTAAACGAAAAGTTGTATATGGAAATGTCTAAGATTTGCGATAATCACGCTCCAGTTTTGCTCATATCATTAGTATCACAACCATTAACACAAACCCATAGCATAAATGGTTGAAGTAGATTGATACTGTTTGAGCCATTCAGTTTTACTTATGTATATCGGCTTCATATCCTCATTTGTGTACCTAGCTATGAACAGAAAGTCTCGTTGTCTTCTGCGAGACTTTGGAGAGAAGTAAGGTGATGAAGAAAAAAATCATACAATAAATTTTATATTCGGAGAAGATCCATGACATGAGTTTGTGTCCCAAGACTCTCCCGACATATGTGACCAGATTTAAAATAACCAGGAGGTTGTTACAAGATACTTCTGCTTCCATATAATGATATATTTCTGCCTTCTGCACAGATGAATTGAATTGAGAGATGGCGGAGAGGAGCCCTCAATGTCGATCATGCAGCAAGAAAGAGTAAAGAGACCAGCACAAATGTAGGTACAGCACAGTGATGCCCACATTTACAGTAATCCACCAGCAGTGTCTCAAGACACATAACTGTTCGATATAAAAGTGACCTCAAGTCCACTTTCTCTGCCATCTTTCCTTCGTGGACGGACAGAAATGAATGTAAAGCCACAGGACGCCTGGCCTACATTTAGCGGAAGCTTTTTCTGAGTCATGACACTTGTCACAATGCTGTCCATCGAATGGGGCCCGGTGGCAAATTACGGACAGTTACTAGACAACTTTGGCGACAGTGGATTGGACAAGCAATCGGTCTTTTCCCTCCCGACTTGCGTCATGCTTGATTCCGTGCCTACCAGCAGGATCTTTAGTATTCCCAGCGAAATCGACCAATGGCTGCCTTCTCTGTCGTCTACGTCCGGTGCACGAGGAGTGATGAGCTTCCTTCTTGAGCGGTTCCATCCCGTAGCCGACGTAAACCGACGGTGGGTGGTTAGTGATGACTATGTTTCGTGAGTTTGTGAACTGCTTCATTCGAGTTCTCCTTTTGTTGCAGTTGGAAGGACAAGCCTCGGGCTGGGACATTTGACATGTTCTCTAATCACGTTTTCTTATTAAAGTAAGTGACGTGAATCTGATTACGTGTTCTCTTGTGCTGTCACATGTTACATTGTACAAGTGACCACCTTTTCTTCAAGAACAATTAATAATTCCGTGGATTACTAGGAGAAATCATCGTGCTTGCTTGCACAATGCATAAAGAATGCTACAGATCGTGCGCAACGGTAGGCTTTAAGAGCGATACTGCCCTCTCCCGGATTTTAATACAAAATAGTCTGAGAATC